AAGGTATCTAAGCACTAATAGTTATGTACAGTTAGAGACAGAGCTTTAAGAGTTAACAGCACATATCATCGCTAAGACTATCCAAGGTCAGGCTATTATTAACTCTGTAACTAAGGCTCTCAATTTTTATTCCAAAGTGCTTAACTTTACTAAGATCAGCAATTATTTATTGAGCATCTATGAGAAAGCCGCTCTCTCAGATACAAAAAGTCTACCAAAGAGAAATGATCTATATTTAAAATCATTTGATATCCATAATTAATTTGCCATAGCATTATTCACTTTTTCTTAGAAATAATTGGTTTCTATTTTCTTTCATGTCGCTCTGACTGACCATAAAATGTCCATAGCCTGATTATATTTTTCATTTATTTTTTCACTATATGTTCTCTTTTCCTCTCAAGATGCAAGAGTTTTGATGCTATAAATAATTATATTGGAATAATCCTTCAGTTGGACAAATCTTATCCCACCTGAGGTGTTTACAAATGGGTTCAAATTAGGTGCTGAACTCCCTCTGTTTTCTGATTTCCTTGTTGTTATTATTGTTGTTGAATAATTGCACATGATGAGGTGTTATTACAAATAGTATAGTAGTTATGGAAACTCTGGAATCATATTGTCAGGGCTCTACTCTTTCCGTCACCACTGTAAGAACTTGAGTCAGCTTAATGTTTCTGTGTCTAAACTTTCTTATCAGTGAAACAGAAATAATAATAACTTCTTACTTTTAAAGATTAAATTTGTTAAAACGAAGTATTTAGAATGGGATCTAAGATGTTATACCATTGAAGACATTACAGGTTTCCTTTTATTATTGTCATTAGTATGAATATTATTTAAAGGACATATGTCTCAGGCAAAGCTGTTGATCATGTAGCCTCTTATACTTCGTTAACATGCATAGTTTTCAATGAGGGAATTTTTGGTTTGAATTGCCAGAGTTTTATCTTTGTTTTAGGAAGCAATTTGTTAACCTAAAAATAAATTTTACCTATAATTTTACAAAAGGAAGGCAAAATAATTTTCTTACAAATAATTCTTATGTGTGTCATGATGTAAATATTTTTTAAAAATCTCAGAAACCACCAGGATATCCTTAATGCTTGATATATTATATTTGCAAGTTGGATGATAATTTGTAAAATTACTTTACAGTTACTAATTACATTTGAAGAAGGTAATGTGCATAGTTTGTTCAAGCTAGTATGGATGATATACTTAGCTCTAATGAAATGTAACCTAGATCCATTAATAGAAAAGAATAGTTTTGGAATCCTTTGTTTGTGAAACTAGTTATTTTCACTTTACAGCTGTTTCTTCTTTCAGAATCTTGGGGCCTAACTCTCCACCTAAATGCAATATATGGGGAAGTAGAGCTTGACCACGTCCTGGTTTTGACTTGATAATTGTCTACTAAAAATTTGCACCAGTTTTGTTTTTTTTTTGTTTTGTCTTTTGATAATGTGGTGAATGTATGAGAACTGACTTATACTCCAGGTCCATTTTGAAATCAGTAAATCATTCAATGGGAAAAGTAGGAGATAATATTTAATTGCTTGAAAACAGAATAATCAGTGGTTCAGTTCCTAATTTTTCATAAATTTGTATTCTCATTCAAATGAATGAATCACATAGAAATGTATGTAGTTAAAATATATGTAAATATATAAAATATGTACTGAGAGTTTAAAAAGTTAAATATAGTAAGAGGCTATTCTTATTGAAGTAATTATGATATTGCTCTTCAAAGCATGTAAAAATCATCATGATCCAATTTATGTAGTAGTAAGATTAAATGTATTTTGTAGAATTGTGATATTTAAATGCTATTCTTATTAAAATTCTCATGTCTATTTTTATTAGTTCAGATATATATTTATCTACAGCTATATCAGCATATCTGTATATATGTATGTATGCATATGTGTACAATAAATATAGACGTATTATATATACACATATGTAATATATATTTACATACATGTATCATTCTATAGAAAGCTTAAAATTAATGCAGTCCCCTAGGGCATTAAAGCATATAACGTAGTAGATCTGTATAGCAGTAATGTTAGGTTGGGTCCTAAAAATGAAAGCTGTACAAAATATCTGTTCAAGCACATGAACAGTTTATATAACAAATCTTAAAATTGTACAATATTGTGAGACATCAGCTAATAAGAAATCAGACAAAACCAGGATCTCCCAGTTCTTCAGCTGTTTAAAATTCTTGGTCTTTATGTGGAAGTTTTCCTAGAGATTTTAGTGTTGGGGCTGGGGAATATACAACAAATGACCACCCCACCCACCAACCTAATTTGTTTGTCAGTTATTCGAACAGGCTCCAAACAGAAGGTTTTGTGCTACCCAAGCCTGGGTGGAAATGGATTTACTGGTAACCAATTAGATGTCAATTCTTCCTCAGGATTGGTTGCCTTAGGACATGTTTCAAAAGGAGTGGGTAGGAAGACCTTAGGCTAGCTCAGATCTCAGATAGTTAACCTGCACTCTCTCACAAAGAGCAGAGAAAAAAATCTGGCTGAGTTCGTCAGATGTTTGAGGAAGATGGACAATCCTTAAATTCCCAGAGAATTTTGTCTGGGCTAGTGATACAGCAAAATAACAGTATAAATACGCCTATATAGTAGAAATCTGCTGCCCACAATCAACTTTTCTAGTTCGATTTTTTTTTAATGTGATTTGAAGTTCAAGTCACAGCTATCCAACATTTAAAATTGTAAGACATTTTGGGAGATCTAAAAGCAAGGTTTTATAATAAAACATTTTAAATTGAGTTTTTATGGTGGGTCTTTCTCCTGTAAATGCATCCCTAAATCTGTGGGATGTACTAACATACACTTAAAGAGAAAACTAAAATGGTGAAAATCATCCAAAGCAGTTTGAACTTTGTGTAGTGTCATATAAGAGGGTCATATGTCATTGAAATTACACATTTAATAAGAGTGCTAATGGGAAAAGCTAATTCCTCAAAACAAATCATTCCCATTAATATAAATGTTGAATGAAAAAAATTAAAACTAACATTTATAATTTGATACCAGAATCCAGGAGAAGACCATGTAAATATGAGAATAACATGTAAATATATTTACAAAAATTTTGACATTCATTAAAGAAAAATGTTGTTGGAGCATAGCAATTATGGAAAGAAACCATGCACTGCTTAGCTTCTATTATCAAAATATCAACAATTTAGTAGTAACATAAATGGAGAGGCGATAGAGATCTTAATGAAGATTAACTCATAGAAATGGAAAACAGGAAAATACAGTAGAAAGTGAACTGTTCATGCCAAGACACTTAGGTTCTCTGGTTGCAAGGTTTTAAATGGCATGCTTTTTATCTTGGTGAATTTCAATTAGACTCTGCAATGGGCAAGTCAGGAAAAGAATATTAATGATGGAGGAGAGAGCTGGGTGGTATTCCATTCTTCACAGAGCAAGCTAAATAAGACAGCAAATGTTTGTTTAGGTTGTAGCATGTTAAATGCTCATCCAGAAAATGGCGATTAATAGGTTAAAAAGGACAGCTGGAAATATTTACAGTGTAAAGGTTTTACTCTCTTCCCATAATTTTCAAAGCAAAGCTAAAATTTACTGTAGATTACAAGTGTCTGTTAGAAAAACTGCACCATCTAGGAAAAACATCTGAATTTTTGGTGCATAACTAACAAAATTGAAGTGTTTGGCACATATTGACTCTGAATGTAAAATGACAGAAACATATCAGCATACTTATCTCTCTCTTTTTCCTTTAAAGTGTCTAACGTTTATAACAACTTCTGGAAGAGATAAACACTGGCTCTGCTTTGCCTTAGTAGAATGTGCATAACATTTTGTCTTATGTGCAGTACAAAAAGGAAAATGTCTTTTTTTTTGTTCAAGTTGCACGTTTGGATTTTATTGCCTCAGGTAAAATAGAACAGAAACGAGACAGATCAAACACACAATGCTGAAAGTTTAAGATGGGACTGGAATTCCAAGTCCCTTTGCCAGCAAAAAGCCCTAAAGGGGGAAAACCTCAAACCTTGTTTCCTTTCCTCCCGCTGGAAAAGGAGTTACAGAGATAGTAGAAGCACAGCAGGTCCCTGTTTGCTACGGGGTAATGTAAACTTTCTGGAGCTGTTGATTGAGTTTGATCACCTGCTAGGGAGGGCACCTGTGAAAAGAGGTTGGAAAAAGGATTGCTGGAAGTGAGCGGGAGGTTTCCCAAGATGTGTGTGTAATCTGCAAATGGACTTTACTGACTGGCTCAAAGGAAGTCTCCAGCCCTCAAAGGTTTGAGGGGAAATCGGTCTTGATTGCAGGAGTGTGAAGGAATGAATGGTGTATCAGGAGGGTTGAGGAAATCAAAGAAACTTCCTGCTGTCTGATTCCACGCAACATGCTTTGAACTTGGTCCTGCGTGGATGAGCTGATGACTAAGTGAAGGCGTGATTAGTCCCTCGCCCTCCAGCGGGAGCGGTACCTCTTTACCTCTTAGCAGCCACGTCTCTCCACAGCAGGGTGATGTTGGGGGACGGGCGGCTGGGCGCGGCCCCAGGGATCTAGGGCGTCACAGCCACGCTGCATTCCCGACTTCACATCAACACCCACCGGCAGCTTCCCCAGGAACCTTGGGGCCTCTCGGGAGCCCCAGCAAGCAGCCTCGGGGAGCAGCCCGGGGCGGCGCGTGGGCTCCGCTCCTCCGGCGCGGCGTGGGCGAGGGGAGCGGCGCTCGGAGCGCACCCAGGAGCCCGACGCCGCCCGGGTCTGCGCCGCTGCTAGTGCCAGGCGGGCGACGGTCAGTCACCAGGGATAGGGGCGGGGGAGAGTGTGTGCGGGGGTCCCCGCATTCCCGGGAACCTCCTTAGCCCTCCTACCGGGTCTGACTCCTCCTCCTCCAGGCGCGGGGCTCGTGCCCGCCACCGCCGGCGCGCACCGCGCCTCCGCCCGCGTCCCCCCAATTTCCCCCCGCCCCAGCTCCTGCCACCGTTTTCCCCCTCCTCCTCTTCCTCCTCCTCCACCCATCACCGCCACTACGAACGCCTTCGTCTCCTACACCTCGCGCCGCCGCCGCCGCTCCTCGCGCCCCGCTCTGGCTTCCACCAGCCCACCGCTCCGCGTTCGCTCGGCTGCTGCAGTCTCAGTCAGTCTCTCTCCTTCTCTCTCTAAGTTTCCTATCTCGTCAAGATCAGGGCAAAAGGAAGAGCACACCGAATTCTGCTCGCCGTTTCAGGTAGGGTCGCACACGTTGGTCCCGACAGGGACCCTTTCTCGTTTGTCTGTGCCTCGCGTGCAATCCTCATCTCCCCCCACCCCACTTTCAGAGGCTCCCTGGAAACGGGGGAGGCTCAATTCCCCCACAGTTCCCCTCCCCAGCGCAGTTTAAACATAATTTCGATACTTATCCCCAGAAGCCTCTTTGCGACTACAATAAAATCCAGGACGCCCGCCCGGCAGGCAGCACACTAGCCTGGCTCTTTTCGAGTCTTCAACTTTGCACGCTGTGGCTGCCGCTGCCTGCCTGCCTGCCTGGCGTTTGCTGCCGGAGCCTCGCGCTCCTTCTCTTATTGTGGTCGTCGGCTCCGGAGCAGCTGTCAAACGCATCGTTTCGCAGCACTTGATCCGATCCCGGCTGCCTCCAAGACACGGTCTTGGGCAACCGTGGGTGGCCAGGGAGGGAGATTATTTTATTCCGTTAAGGGGAGTGAAGAAATGGAGACGTAAGGACCGCAGTTCACTGTAATGAAAAGAATAATTGCAAAAGTGGGCTGCCTGCCCCTAGCTTTTGCCGCTGTGGTTGCGGAGGTGGTCTTGGTTGAGGGGGCTGTGGCGTGAAGTACTCATCCCTCCTCTCCTTTCCGACTCTCCCCTCCAACCCATTCCCTTTCCAGCTCATATGTCAGTTTGAAGTCCAGGGTGTTATTACATGTGTGCGCAAAACAGTGTTTGCTGACGATGAGGCTGGGGGGACGTTCCTGGCAGAGAGAAGTCTGATTACTTGATCCTCTTGCTGTTTAAAAAAAAAAAAAAAAAGAAGAAGAAGAAGAAGAAAGAAAGAAAGAAAAGAAAAGAAAGAAAAAGGGTGGGATGTGTGGGGGGGGGTGGGGGGAAGAAAAATCTCCCAATTATCAAAGCCTACACACAATCCCGGAAGTAATCTCCATAGCTTTAACTCGAATCCCTAACTAAAAGGATATTTTGGAGGGTTACTTCGATAGTGGAACTGAGGGCAATTTTAAGTGTATTTTGTTTTTCCTTCCATGGCTTTGTAAAGAGCGGCGGTGATGAAGACAAAATTGAACATCTACAACATGCATTTGCTGCTTTTTGTTTTCTTGGTGTGGGACCCTGCCAGGTGAGACATTTACTGTATTTGACTATGTTAATTCAGGGTAAAGGTGTGTTTCTTGTATGTCATCAAAGCTTTTGAGAATCTAGAGTGTTTTAAAGAATTATTTCTCAGAAAAGGGGGTGTATGGGGAAAGTGCACTATGAAGTAGTAGACTGTAAAAACTTCACTGCTTCTTGTTCTTAGCGATAAGCTCCAAAAGCAAACAGAAACATTTTCTATGGAGAAAATTCACAGAAGAAAAGAAAATCCTTTTAATGGCATATTACTACAATGAATTGAAGTGATTAGTATAGGCACTTAGAATATTCTAACACCAGGATTCAGTAAGGAAGCCAAGTTTCCCTTCAAAGCTGACAGAAAAGTACCAGCTAAGTGATTTGAGTGTTAACTTAATTTTTTTTCCCTTTTTCTTTTCTTTTCTTTTTTTTTTTTTTAGTGGTATGGCTCCTTTAGTCATCATAGAAAACTCCAATGATGTGTGAGTCTTAAACCTCTAGGTGGAGGTAGTATACAACTTCACAATCACAAACAATAAAACAAAAGCTAGATTTATTAATCATAAACTTTTTGCATTATTAGAATCCTTTTTGTCTCAAATGCTTAGAGTCAGAAGTACTTATTTAAAATATATAATGAATTTTTTTTCACCTATGCTCTAAAAAGATGAAATTAATTTATATTGCTTTCAGTAACTTCATCTTAGTTGCAGTATTCCCTGCTTTTCATCATCAGTGGACACCTTTTCATTAATGCCGTTAGGATATGATTTTCAAAATACCAGAATACGTAAGATACAAGTTTTAGAAGAATATTCCTGTAACCCCTCATTTTTTAAAAAAAACAAATGTCTTTATTACACATTTATTTCTCTTTTAACTTTTTATTTTATTGTCCAAGTAATGGTCAAAATATGAAAACATTTCTTAGAATTGAGAGGCCGTCTATCTTATAAAGCCTTGTTTTCGTTTGGTAAATATCTACTAATTTAACATCTACATATTGATTTGAGAAAGAAAATATAAAATATGATTAAAAAACACTTTTAAGTGAAAATCTCTATGTGAAACTTTATGAACATCTTAGTTACTGGTTGTAAAATTAGCCTAAGTGGGCAATATAGAAAGTTTTGAGGCCGGAGAGTTTAAAATGATGCACTTATTTAATTTGTAGATGTTTATCTTCATTTCAAGATTTTAATATTTTCTCTGCTCTTAAGGCAATATTTGTTTGAAGTTGGTTGCCAGTTTTTGATGTATCATGACTAGTTTTAGCTATTAGCTCTGTAGTCATTTAAATGCAAATTGACACTTTCAATAATATTTTATACAATGCACCTTGATCATTAGAATGTAATTACATATAATATTTTAAAGGAGTGGACAATCCATGATCAATTAACAATCATTGAAAATCTCAGTGTTTAGGCATATTTCTCTTAACTAGTTTCCTGTTCTATATTTGAGCAGTAATGCTTATGCCAGTATTTTATTCTATTATATAAATGATTCTTTTTCAGGGCCAGTAATTTAAATCTCTGATTCATTCTGAGAAAAAAAAATGGCAGTGGAAAGGGACATTCTGTTTTATACATTCAGTTGCTTCTGTAACAAATGGCTGCATGTCACAAAATCAGGTGTTTGGCTTTATGATGGAGAAATAATGGAGAAAATCACATTTTCTAAACCTTTTCTGGTGATATTTTAAGACCATTTGTCCTTTCTACAAATTTATTATTTTTTAAAAAAAGTAACTAGGAATTTTAATCTTTACATTGCGCCTTATTGCTCTTCTCAGAAATCAATCAGGAAGAACTAGGCTCTAAGGCTCTCTGCAGCTGTGTATGTGTTACTGATGCTTTCATAGCCCACCTCCACCTCCTGGCTACATTTTGCCTGGCACATAGCCAGTGGAGTTTCCCTGATGTCTATATTGCACTTGGCCATTGGGTGGAGGTATACGCAAAGTAAGGAAAAAATCCCGATTTAAAAGAGAAAAAGACATACAAAAAAGAAAGACACTTACGAGAGAGATAGAAAATATATTTACCTCCAAAAAGAAAATTTATTTTCCAATTCATATTGAAAACAGTTATTTCAGGAGTCTGTTTGATTATTGGACTTTTCTAGCTACACTATAGCAATACTAATAGTGTTTGCATGTGAAAATCTATCATCACAATATGTCCCAATAGAGAGATTTAGAAAGACAATGAATAGTCTACATAAAATGTTAAAGGAGTAAGAATCTCAGATAATGTTAACACCAAACTTCTGATAATCTACTGTTTAGAATCTATTTCAACTTCATGTTCACCTATTTTTGCAGACGTACTGGTATTTAGGGAAATTTTAAAAGGAGGAAAACTAGTGGTACTAATAGGTCAGGGAGTGTTAAAATTTCAATTAAGGAAGAAAAGCTTTCTGGCATTTGCAAAACACACATATGTATATATATCAGCTTTTAAAATTATCTGTTTAGGTTGGTGCTGGCTAACATCCAAGAAGATGAGGCTAAAAATAACATTACCATCTTTACGAGAATTCTTGACAGACTTCTGGATGGTTACGATAATCGGCTTAGACCAGGACTGGGAGGTAAAAATAGTTTTCCTTTTTTAAAACTCTCATAAAATAATGCCTTTAAAAGTTAAGGGTAATACTCCTATTTTAATACATTTTATGTATGTATGTATCATTGTGTATATAAAATTATAGAAAATAGAAAGATATATGAAAAAGCATTATCTGTGATTCCTTTTATACACACATAATGTATTTAACATATCTTTCATAGAATGCCTAAAGTCATCTGGATCCTAGAGTTTCTGCATGAATAGTTTTTAAGTTAATTTATTTCAAATGGCTAACTTTCTCACACTTAGAGTATGTTAAAGTCTAGTATTATTGAGCAGATATACTTATGTAGTATATTTACTTTATTTGATCATATTTTCATATCAGTTCAGACACACAGAAATAAGGAACATAAAAAGTATAAGAATAGAGTCGTTGAGTTTTAACAAATATACTTTTTAGAATTCCATAATGATACTTCTTTACACATGCATGTGATATTTCTAAAATACAGTACAAGTTTGTTATTCTTGAAACTTTCAGACATTTCAGATATACACTAGATATAGGTCTAAATTTTTGGATTGAAGCGCAATTTGATTTCAAATTTAAACATTATTTTTTTACTCAGAAAAATAGATACATGTATTTATTCAAAAAGGGAAAAGAAATTGGGTTTGGCTAATATGTTAAATTTTAATGACCACATTTACAGCTTTTATGTTTCACAATCATTAAGATGTTTAGTTTCACAGTTAATTTAAGACAAATTAGTTGAACAGTTGATACTAATATAAGATTTATATAGTTTACCTGGTTATTGACAGGTTTGGTGACTTTGCAATGCTAAGTTTCTGGAAAAGATTTGCATTAGTCTGACTAAATGCCTGAGTATTTATGCAAATAATTCCTCTAAAAAATATAAATTTTGTGTGTATGGTTTGGATTGTCTCTGGGTAATAAAAAGTCAGAAGAGACCAGGCTGGTTCAGTAATATGCCATTTAAGTTTGATTAGTTTTTTACTTGAATCCCTGAGTAATATCTTACATTTAAATCCCAGAAAGGACTAATGTTCACATCTATATGACACATTGCATCCTGAAGGAAAAATTCAGTTGTTGCATATATACTCAATTTCTAACAGGAAAAATAAAAAGGAAAAGAATATGTGATTAGTAATTAATACACCTAAAAAGCATGAATATAAAGAATTACTGTCCATGTTAACATATGCGGCAATGAACTATTGGTCAAACTCGTATAAGAGAAGTAAGCCTAGTAAGTAAGAAGTAAGGCTTTCATAATTCACAATGGTACTTTAAGAGATAGCACTAAGGCAGATTTTTTTTTTCTAAACCATAGATTTTATTATTTTTAAATAAATCATCTACTGTCAAATTTTAAAATGTTCAAGCTAGACTGTAGACTTTGTCTCTGAAGTTTTAGGAGGAATATTTATCCTCTGGGTGTATGGTTGGGTAGTAGAACCTACCTGTTTGAGGCCTTACATATTGTTGTTGATCTCTTTGTATTTCCTTTTAAAATCTTGCATCCTTTTTATTTCTAATGCTTGCATTCAAGTAGATTTTGTTAATTGGGTTAGTGCAATACACTAAGTGACTTTTCTTGCATTATTTTCTTCCTGTCTCAATCCTCTGATATTGAACACAGCTAATATCTCACAGTCAGGTCAGTCTTCTTTTAGCTTTATATTCCTTTTTATATGCCACTCTCTTCTCTTGATCAAGTGCCTTTGGTGGCTCCCCATTTCCTTTGGTAGATGGTGGTGAGGGATAGTGGAAGGAACATAATCCTTGGAGGCAGATAGATCTAGACTGGAATTCTGCTCCATCCACACACAAAGCTGTGCCTTGGCCATATCACCTCTGTTTCCTTTATTTAAATTGGCTGTTATATATTTACCTTTCTACCTTATCGGGTTGTTGAGTTATTTATATAAACAAAGAGTATACACAAAGCATGTGCTACATACCGGCAGTTCAATGATATCAATTCTTTCCCTCCTTCCTTGGATTGCTAATTTAATGAGGATTTCTGCAGTCTACTTCTCTGGTGTCATTTGCCACTTTATCCCACCTCCCATTCTTCCTGCCCTTCAGACATATCTATTTATTTTCTCTTGATAATTCATCTTATCTACTCTCTTGGTTTTTGGTAATATAATCTCCTCTGACTAGAATCATTTTTTCCTCATCCCCTCTGGTGATCCAAACCCTACCTTTCCTATGAAAATCATATTAACACCAGTCCTTTTTAGTAAAGATATTTTACCTGAATTGAAGCACCCAGAATAAATTTTCTCTCTTGATTTTTTTTTTAACTAGTCATTGACTCTGTGTCTCCTGGTACATATGTGCTATCATGTGTGATTTATTACCATTTTATGTTTCTCTTGTTAAATTATTAAGATTCAAAGCTCATTGAGTCCAAATATTGTATAATAAATCCTCTTTTTTCTCAGCAACTAAATATTGATTTGCATATTGTGGTCATAAAATAAATGTTGATGCTTGATTAACTTTTCTGTGATCAGTTAATTGTCTGGAAAATGGGACTATTCATATCTGGCTGACTTTCGAGTTAGGAGTGTTGAGGTGGTATGTTGAGTATTGCTCTGTAGAAGAGCAGTGTGACTTAATGAAGAGAACCTTGCTTTAGACTGGAGATTTAGTAAAATCCTGGCTCTTGGGCTAAGCAGTTGTGTGACCTTTCAATCCTTAGCCTCTCTGGATCTATATTTGTCATCTGTGAAACAGGATTTCTAATGCCATTCTTAAAATTTTTGATGAATATTAAATATGATATATACAATGAATTTAGCACAGTAACTGGCAATTAGTTTATAAATTACAATATATAGGATATTGAAGTCTTATAAATGACACATAAGACATAAATGACAACTAAAAGACTCTGAAGAACTTTCTAAATGTACTGTTGCAAGTTTAAATGATTATCTGATTACTTCTGCATCCAACATTTTTAGTCTGAAGGCACACATGTCATTTCCAATAGAAAGCTCAGGGAAATAACCTATAGCATTATTTCCCATAAATGAATAATAAGGGAAAAATGGGTTTAATGCAATTTTAATATATTAAACTGAACATCTCTACTGATGGGCAATCTAGTTAATCTCAAATACTGTTTTCTTTCCTTTATAACTTTAATATAAATGGGTACATAGAAAAGGGAAACCAGTTTTGAACTATGAGTTAGAAAAATTGTTCTTTTCACCTGGCCCTGTCACTTACCACCTCTTATTGTAGGCATTTTGAGCCTCGATATTTTCTTTGGGAAACTGGGAATAATAGAATTTTATTCTGAGAGGAGGAGAGTCCATTGTGATTCATTTATATGGCAAAGATTATATAATATATTGAGTAAAAAATCTTAAGATATTTAATGATTAATAATAGATCCCTTTAAAAATTTAAGTCAGAACCTGCCCCTCAGCTGCTCAGATCCTTGCAATGGTGTCCTATTCATTCAGAATAAAAGCTGGATTTCTTGTGGGGGCCTGTAAGGCCCTGCAAGGTTTGTCTCCCCACTCATTCTTTAACCTCACCTCACACAACTCTCCCTCTTGTTAACGTTACTTCAGTCACATTGGCTTCATTCCTACTTTTTGAACACACTGGGATGCTCTGTGGAGCCTTTCCCCTGGTTGTCTCCTCTTCCCTGGTATATCCACGGATCTCAACCTCTCAGTGAGGTCAACCCTAACCAACCTAATGAAAGTCCAACCTGTCTACCCATAAGCAATCCTGATCCCCTTTGCCCACTTTCATTTTTTCTTTGTGCTTCTTTAGCATTTTAAATATATACCATTATTTATTACCATTATATTAATTACATATTTTTGTCTCTTTTGCTAGAATATATGCTCTATGAGGTCAGGAATTTTTGCCTGTTTTGTAGCTTGATTCACTGATACATCTATGCTAAGCATCTAGAACAGTGATTAGCACATAGTAAGTACTGAACTAAGTATCTCTTGAATGATTCAATTTTATTAATTTCATTTTTGTTTTTAGTATGCCACCATGAAAATGATCAACTATAGAGCTTAATTCATCCTTAAAACTAATGGAGTGATGATTTAATTACTACCCCGGCCTCTCCACTATTAACATCAACATATTTGAAGTTGATTTCTCAGTGAATTGGAGTAATTGTTACACCAAATACTCAGACTCCTGACTTATAGTACCTGTGATTCTGTCATGAATGAACAAATGGAGTGATTCATTTGTCCCATCTATGACTTAATTTACTCATCTGTCAAGTGGGAGTAGGAGTTCCACATATTCATTTATATCTCATAGGGATAGTATATGGCTCAGATACATTGAAATTCTTAAGAAAGCACAATGTGACGTGCAATCGATAGGTATTAGTATTGTGAGGTATAGCAGAGGAGAATTCTTCAAGGAGTATATTATGTCAGGGAGTATTATTCTTCAAAAACATGTCAAGAAAATACTGATAGGTCTTATGCATTTGGTAGTCTTATTCCATTGTGGGCCTGAAAACTTGAGATGGGATTGCCTCAAAAATCTTATCTGCCAAGACCATGCATTCAGATTAGCTAGGAATAATAAGCAAATCAAGTCTTCTTTTTGTCTTTTGTCTTCAATTTAGTCATTAGAGCTAACAAGTTGGGGTACCACCCAAATGAAAATATTTCATAAGGGGCTTTCACATTGTTAAATGAATAAAAGGAACATTTGTTTTCTGGACAGATTTTATAAGGTCATTGGAAAATTGAATGTGTAGACAGGCCTCATATATTCATGAAAGCTGACATCCACATGCTCAAGAGTAACAACTATTCGAAATGACAAACCTTGGAATCTAAATTATAGATTCAGTCTGGAAAATCTAGATTGAGTACCGTGCTTAACCGCATTTTGAAAAGCTGTTTCAAGGAGGTTGGCTAGTTAGAACCACTCTGTCCCAGCTTGATGCTTTTGTCTTATACTCTGAAATCTTGAAG